TTTTTGTTTTTTTGGGTTTTTTTTTTGGGTTTTTTTTTTTTTTTTTTTTTTTTTTTTTTTTCCCCCCCCAAGCAGAGCAACATTTCAAATATTTTTCAAATAATACAAGTTAATCTTTCTTTTTAGCCTCTTCTGAAGCAGTCACCCTGGAGCAATCAGAGCAGCGGCTGGAGCACAGGAAATATATCCTGGGGAGGAATGCATGGCAGAGACCATCGTAGAACTGGAAACATGGGAATTCCAGGAACTATGAACCAGATCTCTCCTTTGAAGAAGCCCTTTTCTGGTAATGTCATAGCTCCTCCTAAATTTACTCGCTCCACTCCATCACTGACTCCAAAATCGTGGATTGAAGATAATGTTTTCCGAACTGACAACAACAGTAACACTCTCCTTCCTTTGCAGGTAAGGTTGGTATGTAACTGTTTTGTTCATAGACTCATTCATTTTAAAGGAGAGTTAAGCAGTGGTTGTAGCACTGATAGGTGGTTTGAAAATTGTGTATTTCTATGTTACTTTTAGTCCTAAATTGCAACTAACTCCAAGTATTCAGCAATAGGTGATTCTCACAGTTAATTAAAAATGTTGACTGTCAAAAAAGATAGAAACTGGAGCAGCTGATGAGCAGTAGAGCAAAATATGTTTAATCCAGCAAGTGTTTTCTGCCTATGGTAACACTTGTATTCTTATAAATCCATTTAAAACTCTGGTCTTTTTGTTCACTTGTCCTCATACATAGGTTTTCTTACTCCTGCAGATGGCTCTGAGTCTTTGTTGCATTCACCTTTTACTGATGTTTTAGGCTGACATTTGCATATTAGTTAGATTTCCCCCCCCATTTTAGCAACTCTTATGTTTTGGCTGGAAGCCCCATAATTTAGAACTGTCAAACAGGAGTGTGTCTTAGAACTAAAGGGTTCACCTCTCGAATTTTGCCAGTGACATCTCATGTGACTTGAGGCAAGTCACTAGCTCCAGCTTCAGATACCGCTTGATAAAATGTTATTTTTCTCATTCCTGCCAATATTCGTTTAGTTGTAACATTTTTTGTTAGCAGAGACCTTTATTATTTTGGATCCCAATCTTGGTTGCCATTTGAACAATTTATAGTTGTCTTTTCTATAACAGTGAACTACTGTATTCCAGCAAGAGGAAATAATAATGTTTCTTTTTCTCCATAAAAGGCTAATATAGTTGGGGCTTTTTTGTTAGGTTTCACACAGAGAAACCTGGAATTTCATTTGTTTTAATTGTGATCGTATTTGAGTTTGGACAACTCTATTTGCATCAATTAGCAAGTTAATGCTCATGTAGCTGTAATAGTGGCAAAAGGGTGTTCCCTGGGACCAAATTTCCCACTAGAGTTCCTGTTTTTCTTACAATTTTGCTAGTGGACTTCTTTTTGGCACAAGAGGCTGTGTCCCGCCTCCATCCAGGTGAGCTCTGATACTTGCAGTATTATGGAGGCTAATGGTGATTTTTGGACATACCTAAATTCTGCTCCAAGTGTATGCACTGGACTTGAAAACTTGAAAGGGTATTTGCCTGTACTGTGAAATCTGTTCCATATTAAGCAGCCTTGCTAGCTGGGATATCATAGTTGAATACTTTTTGTGTGGATGGAAAGATGGTCCCATTTTTTGTATGTTCAACCTGATCTGTTAAGGAAAACAGATTACAGATAGGTAATGCTCTGTGGTGGAGGGCTCCAAGAATAGTTGAAACACTGAAATGTCTCCTGAACAGGATTAGAAATATTAATGCCAGCATATGTAGAAACTGCAGTGACATATATATTGGTATTCATATGCAGCTAAGCACAAGTTGTGGACGTATTTACTCATTCAGTATGCCTTACAAGTCAGTATGACTATTGCTTTGAACTTTCAGAAGCTTCTACAGTGGTCATCTAATATAGATGAACTCATTTTATGTCTAAACAAAAGCCTTGTGCAGTCAAACTATAAATCATTTCTATCTAGTAGGGTAGGAAAAATTCTCCAAATCTATAATAAATTACATCATTTGTGTTTGAGGATTGAGGGGTTTTAGTTTTGTGAAGAGAGTGTCAAAGTGAGAACGTGGGCACACATAATTGTTGTTGGTCTTGCCTGTGAGCACCAGTGCCACCAATTAGACAGACCTGTTTGACTATATTTATGCTATAGAACTACCTATGCTTAAATCTGCTTTACATGTATAAAGTCATACTTGCAGAACAGAGTAAAACCAATCCTCTTTCAAAAGGTGCAGTGTTATCTACTGCTATTGCACAAATACTTGACTAAATCACTTTGCTGCACTGAAATAGTGTTTTTATTTTTCAGTCATTACACTATTAATTCCTTAGAATGACTGTTACATTTTGCACGTCATAATGAAAAAGTTAAGTAGAGCTCAGAGCACTCGTGCTTCTTTTCATCAGGACTTACGCTGGCGATTGCGATGCTGTCAAACACCCATCTCACTAATTTGTGCTGTGCTTGTCTCCTTCCATAAAAGGCTGAGGTATTTAGATTGAGGAGTCTTAAAGATACAGTAGAAGTTTCAGAAGATAGTCCAAAATAGCAGTAGTTAAATTTTGTGCCATTTGGAAAGTCTTGCACAAAAGCATTCATGTGTATGTAGAAGTTACCTATTTCTTCCCAGCTTCCACAGAGCAAACACATCTTAGCGTGCATGTTGAATGCATACTGCATCATTCACAGTGTTGCAGAATTCTTTTCCACATGAGCATGCATCTTTGTTTTAACTGCAGTAGTCATTTTGTATGGCAGGGGACAGAGCATCTCTCCTCCAAACTTTAGCTAGCTCAAGCTTGGCAAATGAAATCTGGTTAGAAAAGCCAGTGTCCTCACTGACTAACTTCCTGTAGATCATTAAAAAAATGGTAGCAGAACATTAAAATGCCATCTTAATTTTTTTGCTAAGTCCAAAAAGCATTCAGTAGTGTCAGCTGCTCATCCACTTTCTTTAAAACACGTACCTGATGCAAATAAGATAAGCCGCAGAGGAATCATATTCAGATTCAATGCTTTTCCCTTCTATGAAACTTATTTATTCTTCAGTGTTTGCATTGATGGATGGTCTCCAGTATAGAGCTGACAACAATTCTGATGAAAATAATGTTTCTTGGTGTTAAACTAATATACCAGTGACAATGAATGTCATCACTGATAGCTGAGTAAGTAATTATGTGTACTACTTAAAGGGATGAAACCAGGCTTTCTGTACTTCATAGTTAAAAGTGAAATATATCCTACATGAAGGTGTAAATTCACAGTTGCCACATTAGCTACAGCAATCTCTCAGGAGAATTTTCTGAACTTCAGAAGTTTTTGTTTTGTTTTTAAATAAAAGTAGTCAAACATCATGGCAACACTGATTTAAATGTGAGCAAATTAAGCCAATAGCCAAGTTTTTCTTAAGTGACTTGCTGTAAGAAGCTTTTTGTTCTCCCTTAGGTTTTTAACATAGCACAAACTACATGGAGAAAAAGTTCTTTCGTAGACAAAATGAGGTCTATGCTGATTGCACGGTTACAGGTACTTCACATAGGGAAGGCATTGTGCCTTGTACCAGAATTGTTAAAGAACAATTAGAAATCTTGTCAGCTATTCACACCATCTAACTTAAGCGTTTAATTGAGGAGCCTATTTCTCTCTCCTTAGAGAGAATCTAGGCTCCTCATTTAGATAATCTAATTCTCTAGAAGAACATACCTGCTACCACTGACCTCATACAGCCTTTGGGGTTCCAGTTTAGGCACTTACGTTGCATGTGAAGAAGTCGGACAATATGAACATTCTCCCTTACACCCTAATCTAGAGGGAGGGAAAAAAAATAGGGTGCAGAGCAACAAATGTATTTCTAACATCACGTACTCTTCTCTCCCCACCAAAAAAAACCCCAACCCAAAACCACAGGCATTTCTGTGGCCAAAATGCAAGCACAGAAATCAGTGTAAATTCATTTATTTCATTTTCATTCCTTGGATGAGGAAAGTAATTAACCATTTTTAGTTTTTGGTTTTTTTTTTTTTTTTTTTAAGAATTGCAGTGTCTGCTACCCTGCTTTGATCACAAGCTTAATGTTTCTTAATATCTTGATGTAAGATTTCTAAAGCCTATTGTAACAGTTTAATAATACAGCTCAGTGTTTAACTGTTTTTATTCTGGTGAAAACACTGCATTCTATGAATTTAGTTTCTGTGTCTCTCAGGTTGAGGAAATACACTTCATGTCTGGGTGTTTTTCACCTTGATTTGTCCTTCCTGTTTGTTCAAACGGTACGTGCAGTGTTCATGGTCCTAAAAGCTGAGCTTTATTATTTTGTGTTTAATACAGCTCTCCAGGTGGGGATTTGTATGGTACAGTAGTACAGTACCATCTCTCAAAAATGCAGATTAGTTTTTTTTTTCTATTTATTTTTCAAATGTGCTAAAGTTTTCAAAGGAAACAAAATGAGTTTTAACAACAGGTGTTAGTTTTAGGTATTTAAACTGCTGTCATGTTGATTCTGTCTTATAATCAGTTACATTCAGAGGATTTCAGGTTCTCAATATGACAGTACAGTTTAATAAATGTACCTTAACAGGTTAAATGGCTAATCTTGATGCTACACATATCAGTCAATATTGGATGAAGAGGAAGTTGCTAGAGTTGGGTTCTTAATGCCCTGTTTTGACTCCTAAATATGTGGCCTGTTTCTTCAGAAGTGTGGAGTGTTTGGCAGCTGATTTTAAACTTGAAGGCATTGCAAGTATCCAGCTGCTACATTCTCTTTGTCTTCAGGCTAGTGTAATCGTCCAAATGCTGATTTATAAGCTACGCTTTACCAGTTTATTTTTACTAAGGTAAAACCTGCAACAGAACAGTGTCAGGATTTCTAATGCAGTAGATTGATTACCTGGGGCTGATTAAATCACATACAAAACCAGGTATTTGTGTCTGAGCACTATACTGGGGATATCTCTACCTGGAGGAAACGGTGTGCTGTCATACTTTGAATTTCAGGATCAAGACTTTTGAATAAATAGTATTGGGAGCTGCACAGATGAACAATTCGAAGGAATTAGTTAGCAGAAAGTTTGTGAGGCTTACCATACAAGTGTGTTTATGACTTTGTATGAACTAAGAATTCTCTCCTACTGTTAAAATATCTGTCAGTTATACAGCTCATTCTATTAATGTAAGTCAAAACCAGGAAAATTCAACATACTATTTAGCAGCCGTGATAGTGTAACAGTGATGTGTATACTAAGTAGTGTATTTCACCTCATTCTGTCTGCCAAAGCAGAGTCGTTCTCTAAGTTGAAATGCTGTATGGTCTGATGTATTTGCATTTAAGTACTCAAGACTGTATAGATATTTCTGGGGGTAGGGAGGGAGGAACCCAAAACTTGA